AGTGAATAGTCAAGCAGAAGAGAATGGCAACCCCAAGATGCAGAAGCACCAAAGAATCACCATGCCCATGGCTAGAAAGACAGAGAGGAGCCATCTTTTTATAAAATCATAAAATATCATGAGGATAGTCTATTAGGAGAAACAGGCACTTCTTGTTCTGAGAGGCAAAGACCATGGAGAGAAGAGCTGCAATTACTCAAGCAAGTGCTATTTTGAAAAAGACAAAGGCAAACCATGCTGCTTTCTTTCCTAATGCCCACCAGCTTCTGTTAATGTCTCCTGTCGGCCATACTTAACCAGAGATGAGAGGGGGCTATGAAATATAGTTCCTTATGGGAACAGATTTTAAAAAAATGTTGAGAAATAGTTGTGAGGGTGAACAAATTACCAGCACATTGTAGCACAATTGGTAGTAAGTTATTTCCTTGCAGTAGTGGGGTCTAGAGATACAGAAGGAACATCTCAGTACTCATAGACTAAGAGAACTATCTTTTTGGCTGTGGGAGGAGGGTAGGAATGTCTCTTTCCAAATGACCTTTAAAACAGAGAAAAATAGAGAAATTTGACTCTGGGGTAGTTCTAACTGTGCGTATTTTAGGTTACATAAGGGTGGCTAAAATAGAGATCCCAAGCCAAATAAGGCAGGGAGGCACAAACTCACACGGTGTCTCTGCTTCTCTTATTGTCTTCTCCTTGAAAAGCTCACAAAACAAAACAAAAACAAAAGCAAAATAAAAAACAACAAAAAACAAACAAACAAAATGCACCTCACCCTCTTTGCATCCCCTTTAGAGATTGGGAAGAGTAGTTTCATGTTTATGGGATGGAACATGGGGTTCTTTTTACAACATGTGAATAAAACAGTTGTTATGGCTAGAGCCTATGCCCCCAGCCTCAAATTTCCATTTGGAGGAAGAAGCTTTCTCCTCTGTTCCTTCTGAGGGTTCTGAAGTGAAACTGAGTTAGGAAATGGCAAGAGAGTTACTCAACTTTAACTCTCCCCTTAAGCCAAGAAGAAGAACAAGCCCTACCTTACTTGAAACCCAAGGGCAAACTGGGCTAAGGATGCACAGTAGCAATTGTTTCGAATCCAATTTACACCTGTTTGTGTTTTCAGTGATTGCTGTATCCTTTTCCAAGTCATCTTGGCCCATTACAGGATGAAGGAAAGAACATTTAGAAACCAGATGTTATAATAACTAAAACCATTATCCTTAGCTGGATCCCAAGGAGAGTTTGTCTCTATCTATAAACAGGAGACTGTTTTCAGCTCAGCTCTGCACTGAAGACTCATGTTGCTTAGGGACAAATGCTCTGCAACACATCTTCCACTATGTGTTGAGTCATAATTGATGGTCCTGGGGTCTTCTGCTTTATCAGAGCCACAGTCCCTCCTTAAATAATGACTATTTTTATATGTTAATGTTCTGAAGTGAAACAATGTCAGCTTATGGAATTTCTACAGAGAATCATTGCAATGATGCATAGGCTGCAATTGTAGAGAGAAAGAAAAAGAACATACAGCAAAATATGCCCAAGATGGAAATCCCTGACTCCACTCCACTGAAAAATATAATGAAGTTGTTAGATGTTTGTAACCGTATGAAGAACTATATTGGCATAGAGGGATACTGGAACAGAATGGAGACTTCGAATAACCCAGTGAGTGTTGCCAATATGGCTATTATTTTTGAAAATGGTGGATAACACTTAGTAAAGTTCCAAACAATGGACAGGGTTACCTTCCCTTGATTAGATGGTAATTTTATTCTTGTAGTATTCAGCTTAAGTTACAACCATGGGCTGGCAAGATGGCTCAGTGGTTAAGAGCACTGACTGCTCTTCCAGAGGTCCTGAGTTCAATTCCCAGCAATCACATGGTGGCTCACAACCACCTGTAATGGGATCTGATGCCCTCTTCTGGTGTGTCTGAAGATAACTATAGTGTACTCATATACATAAAAATAAGTTACAACCATGGAAAAATACTTTGAATTTATAGTAAGTTGAAGCTGTATTCTAGGCTTTGATGACTATAAACAGATTATCATTTCTATGAAATGTCTAGTTTTGGTCCCTGCCAAATAAATGCCAATAACAATTCCCTTATTATTCAACAACTCTGAGTGCCAACTTAGGTCTTTCAAAAAAAAAAATTAGAATCTCTCACGTGGCCTGACTAAGCTGAGTTGGAAGAAAAGCAGTATATGTTTGCTGACGTCATGAAACTCCAGGCTTTAGAGACATTTTTTCCCCTCCAGAACCTTTGATTGATTCAACCATCTGCCATTGAGACCTCAACAAATTTGACAAACTATTGAAGAAAAAACAGATGATTTACTTCCAAGCTTCTGGTAAGAGTCTTCATGACCAAAGTACACATTTCCTTGTGTATGAATTGTTTATTCCTGGACTACTATGAAGGTCTAAGACATAACTTTGCTCATTGACATCTCTTGAGATTGGTTTGACCTTGCATTTTCCAGACACTGTTTAATGCATTATCAGGATTTGACACTGTAGTCTAAACAGGTTCAAGGGGGGCAGTAGGTTGAATGCTGTATAGAACTGCTTATTTATCTTGAGTATATACTCCAGTATGTCTTCTTACTCAAAGACTTATGTCGCTACATTTCTTCCTCTAACTAGGAAAACGAACTTTGAATGAGAAGTGCCAGTGAGTGTGCTGTAGTGTCTTTACATCTGGATTGGATATGGAATGATGATGTTGCAAGTATGTAGAGTTTTGTGTCTTCAGACCGTATTCAGGTCTCCTTTGTCTGCCTTTGACTTTTAGTGCATTAGTGTTCTTGAAACTCCATTCCTAGTCTTTAGAGTTTATAATGGTGCTTGATGCTTTGCCCAAGGATAAATGAGACAGTATAGGTAGATCACAGTAAGATCTTATGCTTGTGTTTATGATTATTAGTCATCATTATTGTTACAATCAGAGGTAATTATCATTGGTGCTCATCAAATAGCAAGGAATACTACTTTTAAGAAAGGTAATCATTTGGCCTAGATGATCATATAGATCTCTCCAAGGATAGAGTTGTTCCTTGGGAAGAAAACAGCTTTGGACATAGTCAACAATAGAAAAAGTAAGTTAGTCTGCTCGTACATAGGCAAAGCTGTGAGGGAACATTGCTTCCTGGAACAGAAGGAATTTTCTTGCAAGTTTATAAATGATTTGACAGAAAGTCCTGCAGTTCCTGGGAGCATTTCAGAATAGGCTGGCGTAATGAGGTACATGAACAGTCAGAAATTCCTTGATGGGTTTGTATCACTAATGATGATTGGTGTCAAATTGGAAACCCTGCACTACTACGTGCTTAATAACCTCTCATTTCATTATCTACAGAACATTTTAGTAGAAGATATGACTAGGTTAGATGGATATGGATGGAGGGGAAAGGTATCATCCCAGGTAGAGGAAGGAAAAGAGCTATGTAGAAGACTATGGTCATGGGAGACAAAACCCATTAGGGATTTTGAAGATAGCTGCAGAATGTTAGTGGAAAATTTATAGCAATTTTAAAGGAACAAAGACTGAGAGTCAAGGTGAGATCAATTACCAATGATGGTATGTGGATCAATATGAAAGAAAACATCTGCTCTACTTCCTTACATTCAAGGGCCAATCTCATGACTCCTATTTCCATTTGGGTAACTTTCCAAAGACTTAAAGATAGGCTTAAAAAAAGGGAACTAGAATCAGACTCCTTTAAACAGGAGGGGCATTTCTGTACTCTATAGCTTGTCTTTCTACTAATACTTGTGCGAGTGTGATACCATGGTCGGAATTCAGTAAACAGTACTAATACTTGTGTGAGTGTGATAGCGTGGTATGTATTCACTAAACAGATTTTTTGAAACAACTCAGTGCTGAGAAATCATAGTCTTACAATTTTTTTTTGTTTGGTGGGTGTATCCAGTATTATTTGTGTATGGTCCTTATAGGATGTAATGATATACATGTATATATATATATATATATATATATATATATATATATATATATATTATAGGTCTGTTGGTATGAAGATATTTTCCCAAATACTTGTATCATGGGTTACTTATAGCTCTGTTGGGTCAGAGTCAAAGGTGTTATTCTCATCTACCTCATTTCATGCATATATTTTTTATCCATACATCTTTTATATATACTTTGAATTATTTCATTGGTATGTTCTGTAAGATCTCGTTATGATAAATGATTAGTTTTATTCTGAGTGTTTTTGTCTTATGAGTTGTAATCATTGTCACTAATAAAAATGCTGTATAACAGTAGACGTGTTAAGAAATGACACACCGGGTGCTTCGGTCCTTCTTAGAAGGAGTAACAAAATACTCAAGGGAGCAAATATGGAGACAAAGTGTGGGACAGAAACTGAAGGAGGGGCTGTCTGGAGACCATTCCACCTGGCTATCCATCCCATGTGCAGTCACCAAAGGTAGACGCTGATGTGGGTGTCAGGAAGTGCATGCTGACAGGAGCCTGATATAGCTGTGTCCTTAGAGGTCTGCCAGAGTCTGACATATTCAGAGGCAGATGCTCACAGATAACCATTGATCTGATCAAGGGGTTCCCAATGGAGGAGTGAGAGAGAAGACTGAATGAGCTGAAAGGGTTTGTGGCCCCGTGAGGAGAGCAACAATACCAACCAACCAGAGCTCCCAGGGTCTAAATCACCAGCCTGGAAGCACATAGGGAGGGACCCATGGCTCCAGCTGTATATGTAGGGGAGGATGGCCTTGTTGGCATAGGTGGGAAAGGAGATCCTTGGTCCCATGAAGGCTGGATGCTGTGTGTGGGGGAAATTCAAGGGTGGGGAGGTGGAAGTGGGGGGGTAGGTGGGGGGACATCCTCATAGAAGCAGGAGGAAGGGGGATGGGATAGGGAGTTCCTGGGCAGGGGGAGCATGGGGTAAGGGGATTACATCTGAAACGTAAATAAAATATCCAATAAAAGAAAAGAAATGACACACTACATCAAAGGAACCAGTTAATCAAACATGATTAATTTTAATGTAATTACTAAAGAAAGATATAGCATTTTATTATGACACTCTAGCCGTACATTTTCAAAATATGCTTACTAAACAGTAAATGTAAGATAATGATTTAGTTAGTTACATTTTTAGGACTCATTAGGACTGATATTGCTCTGCCGTAAATGAATTGATTAACCACTTCAAATACAATAAGGATTAATTTGATAGAAGATGTTTTTGTGTATGTGTGTGTAAAACACATACAATGAATGACCAAATATCACTTTCAGGTTTCAGTAGGGAAATTAATGCAATGTCTGTAAGTTACTCATCACCCTTGGCCTTTAAGCGTGATAAAAATAAATGAAGCAAAATGCACGTTGTAACCCAAATTCTCATAGCTCCTTAAATCCTTAGCCAAAAGCGATCAGGTCTGATATGCTATTTGGAGCTTTCACGTAAACTGAATATACACTGCATGATGTTTGGAAGGTTTAATGATACATAGACAGAGATAGGAGATAGGGATGGAGCCTCCTGCGGTGTGTTTAGCAGTAAGTACAATGTAAATATTCAAATGAAATGAGGTTCGGGATAGATCAACAGAGGAGACTTTGCTGTGAGCCAGTGAGTGCGGTCAGCCGGTGGTTGGAAAGGATTTTTTGCAGTTTCTTTTAATTTTTCTACTTTACACAAGTACACTTTGGGCAAGAGAAAATGAATAATGTTTGCTTTTAGGCCCAGACAGTTTAAAAAAAGGCAAATTGGAAAGATTGTAAAAGGTCATTTTGAAGGTGATTCAGTCTGAGATTTAAGTCGGACAAAGTATTTACATTTTACCTTGTATTTCAATTGGGCAGTGACATTTAGATTTTTTTTGGTACGCTTTCTCGATTTTTGTTAATGCACTTTTCTCCTTAAGAACCCTTATCAATGACAGAAAAAAATACGTGGAAAGAAAAAAAATCATGTTCAACCTAAGTGTAATCATTCATTAAGAGGGACCATGTGAAATGTGTGTTTTAAAAGACAGTTCTTTAGTTGTTGGATATGCTTTGGGCAGCCTCTAAAAGACTCTGAGGCAGACACTGGGAGAAAAAAATCACCACCAGCAAAAATGAATTGGAGGAACAAAGATGGTTTGAAAAGTCCCCTGAGTCTCTGACTTATCTGGGAAAGGTTTTCTTAAAATGATAAGAAAGAAAGGATTGTACCAGATATGGCTTGTTATTTAAAGTGATATCTTTATCACGTACCTTATGCATTTAAGCTTCAGACAGTCTTATCACTTTTCTTTTAAATAGAAACCACACAAAAAAGGTATCTATGTATCAATTCCTAATACCTAACAGGAAAGTCTTACAGAATATCACAATAGCAAGAAGCAAATCTGTATACTATAGGATTAAGCACTAGTGTTGAAAACAAAAAACAAGCAACAAAAATTTCCCTTAGTATCCCCCTCCCCGCCCCCTGCAGATTCAGGGCTTAATGGTCTTTGTGGGGAATGGGAACAGAGACTCACACTTCTACTGTATTTTGAAGTAAATAATCCCTTAATATTAATCATTCATGTTTTGAAACCATGGGAAAATCCATGCTTTGAACGGGAATTGCTCATCCATTTGAGAAGTGCCAAACAGGGCCTATGCTAATAAATTAAGACAATCTTTTATGATTGAAAATAGAAAGGAACATTTAAAATGGTCTGATTCAAATAAGTCAAACCGTACATTTTCTAGCCAGCCTATCAAGAGTCTATGTGAGTTTGTCATCTTCCATTCTGTTATGAAACAGAAAAAGGACCAAGTCTTTTTGAGCATTAAGAGTTCCATTCATAAAGACTGTATAAAGAAAAAAAAAATCAAAACCCAAACCCAACAAAAAACAGAACAAAATCTTCACAGATTGTTAGTCATCTTCTTTAACAATTCTCATAAAATCTTCCCTTTCTTTGTTAGTAAATAAGCCCAATTCATAAGGAAATACTTTCCGACCTCTCCCAGTGAGATCCATGACTACTCTAGGAGACCCGGCCACTTGGAGGTGTCTGATGAAAGAACAACCCCTACAAACCAGAAATCAGTGCCTTCCCCAGGAGGATGTGGCAGAACCTGTTTCTAGTAGTAGGTAAGTCTATGTTAAAATCTTTGTATTTTCTCCACTTTCTGAGTATTTGCTTTTGAGTGGAACACAACACAACACACACACACACACACACACACACACACACACACACACACCTACTTACACACATGTACTCACCCACCCATACCAAAACCCAAACCAAAAATCAACAAGAAACCAAACAATCAACAAAAAAAAAAGCAAGAAGTAGCTTAATTATTTCCTTCTGCCATTTGCCCGAAGTTATTCCCCCCCCACACTCCAAGTTACTGACCATCACCTCAGATTGGGTAAAGTAATGCTAATTTTGTTAAATTTGAGAGCCAATGAAAGAATTGAGCCATCTAACTTTACAACTTTTCCATCCTCTGTCTCTGAACCCCTAAACTCACAACTTGAACAATATTCTACTTGTCAGTGACACAAAGTTGAAAGGTGTTGGCTAGGGTGGTGGCTAGACCTAATGCTATCTCAGTAAGCCATCTACTATACAACTGCTGTTTTCAGACTTTAAAAAAATATGTCTATGCTTTCTTTTTTTTTCTTTTTTCATTTTTTTTTTTTAGTCAAGTACTTTCTTAAAGAAACAATAGCACCACATTGGCGTAGCTGGCCAAACAGTTAAAGGGGAAAGCAAAACGCACTGTATCCTGTTTTCTGCGCATCCTCCCAAGTGCACAAACCATAACAGAAACCCTGGAGCCGTGGGGTATGAAATGGTTTCATCTACACAGACATATCACATTTCACATTGGCACTCAAAGAAGGAGAAGGAGTCTCAAGGGGCATGGATGCTTTTTTGAAAGATAGGATTTTTCAAGGAAATGATTTCTTCTTATTCTTACTGTGAATAGGTGTGTGTGCACAAATGCATGTGTAGGGTAGGTACATGTAGGGTGGGTAGTTTAAAAAGGATTTTTTTTTTTTACCCCAGGAAAATACATTATAATGGAGAGATGCATTAACTTTTTCTGTGGAACTGACTCAATCTTACAATGTTCAAGCACTTGATATTCTTTAGAGAATGGAATCAACATTTGACCTAGGTAGTAAATATTTAAGTAAATCAGCAGTAATCCTATCAAACAAAAACTCCTTCTTACCTATCTTTATAGTTCTTTCATAAATTTATTAAAATTGCTCCATTTCCAGACACTAAAACAATTTATCGCCATAGCAAAGCTTACAAAGTTTTGAGTTGCAAAATTTTAAATGTCCCTTTCTATCCATCTTGAGTCATTTTGATTCATCATATAAAGATCAGTTAGTTGGGTTTCAGAGTTTATGTAGATTTGTCTTATAGTACTCATTCATTTAAAAGTACAATGATACTTTAGTATAATTAATTAGTAAAGTTAGTATTTATTACTTGATTTCTGACCCAGTTGGAGAGGATTAGTATTAGATAAAGGATTGCATACTTCAGCTTTCTTCATTGAGACAATTTCTGACTGTGTATTGAATTAAGAGAACAAAATATGTGACAGACACTTGGAACCATCAAATCTAACCATGACGGGAAGCCCACAGATCTGGAGAAGACCACCTGTATGTTTTTCTGGGAATTACCAATTTGGAAATGTACACATTGTGAACAAGAACTAGAAGTCAGAAGTGCCACCCAGGGTGTGAGAGGGCCCAACTTTTCCTGCACCCTTCTGGGGAAGCAGGTAGATGGCAAATTGGCCTCTTATTCCATTTACATTTCTACACTAATCAGGTGCTGTTTAGTGTGCCTGACATTCTTAGCCCGGTCGACCGAGGCCTTTACTCAACAGCATCTTCTGCATTTCCCCAGACATTCTAGAGGGAACCCAGTGGAAGGAAAGCTAAAGGTGCCCTTTTAGGTTTTTCTTATACATTTTATAAGAATATTAATGAAGCTTGCAAAAAAAGAATCAAGCCTGCAGATAATAAGATGTGAATATTGGATTTTTTTTTAAGAGGCAGACAATCTTGCTGCATAAACAAAGAACATGTTTCTGGTTATCAATGCCCAGCTGAACACACTCAATACATCTCCAGGAAGCTGTATTCTTCCTTCTAAGCAGACACTAGGGACAACCTCAAATTTTGCCTCTCAAGTAGCAATTCTTGCCAGCATATTTTCATAAAATAAAAAAAAGTACATGCATATAAAAGCAAGGGCAAGACAACATCTGCTACAGCAACTTGTGATTGTAATAGATACGATTTCAAAATTTAAGGATGTCAGGGCCTGTTTTCATATGCTAAGTGGAAGGAGAATTGAGTTTAGCAAACTGAGTAGAGTCTCATTGATAATGTTAGAGTTATTTCTAGATACTAAGTGACTGGAAGGATTAATGAGAGTGGATAAATGGAATAATTGATTACCCTTTACTTAGCAAGGATCTTCTTTCTCATCTTTTCTTTCTTTTCACTTGTTTTTATAGTCATAAGCTCAAATGCAGAAGTAAAATCAAATTGCAAATCAAATGTCTCTTGCCTTATGACATGTTGGAGAGACTGAGTCATTAACTTGTCACAGTTAGTTGCACAGCTTCACCAATAAGAACTTGAATATGGTGGTGGCATCCCAGTGACAGATGAACGATCCTTGGAGCTACACTGTTAATGAGTTATTTACAGAATTCCTTGCATCCCAGCAATTCTGATGTTGCACCCTCCTGGAAACCCAGAACAAAACTATGAAGGTCTACTTTTTAATCTTTATACCACCCCTTTGAGGTAGGTAGATGACATATTGCCCCCCATTTTGCAGATGAGGAAAACTGAGGCACCGAGAGGTGGAATGACTTGACTGAGGTCACATGGTGGTGAGTTTAGGTGACCGAGGTTGCAAATACTTGTTTCTTCGGTGATAAAAGGAAACCAGGACTCCTAAAATCCCTAGCCTCTTGCTTTTCTCACTCCATAGCTTCTTCTCTGGACTTGACAAGTAAGTGTGTCTTAATGGACTTTATATCTTAAGTTCCTCTTGGAAGGCATAATTGGGGAGGCCTTTGCATCTCCTAGGAGGATGGATTTTTTTTTCAGTTCCCTTCCTCATTTTGTCATCTTAGGCTCCAGGCTTTCATTGTTTTTGCTTTGCTTTCTCCTTTTACTGTGTTGACTAGATTCTTTCATATAACAAACTACAAAATAGCACCATTGTACTAAAAAACAACAACAACAGAGTTTTACATACTGTTTGATATTTCCTGTATTATTGATATGCTAAATTTACATAGTGCTCTATATGGAAAAAATAAAAAAGAGAGAAACTGTTACTTAGGTTACATACTAACATCATTTGAAGGAACTGTTGAGAGTTTAAGAGACGCTCTATGCTTCAAACACACACCTAAAAATGATTGGCCTCAAAGTTGTAGTTATTGGTATTCTATTTTTTTTCTTCTTGAAACACGATGTCGAGAAAAAAAATAAAGCTTTGTGTCTAAAATAAATGCATCCAACTTATATTTTGTATAAATGCCACAGATGGAGTCAGGTACATTAAAACTTGGTGGGCCACTTGACGACTTATTTGCTATTGCTTTTGAGGAGGCCAAATTCAACAAATACAAATGTTAGAAAAGGGCGGGGCTAGTGAAGCTAGACAAGATCATTAGACTCTGTAAAACAAGCAGCTTGGGCTACGAGGGACGAAGTGGAGATAAAGGAACCATTCATAAACCACCTCTACACAGTTGCTAAATGAACGGCTTTAGCAGCCCAAATTCAGAGAGAAATTTAGTGCAACTGAATCTCTACGACACCCATGCATTTTCGGCTCTTAAGAGGCAGGGACTAGGAGATATAATTATATATATATATATTTTCTCTATAGAACGTTATTAATAAAGGATAAACAGCAATCTACCCATGCCAGGACCACTTTTTTTTTCCAAGATGCAAAGCTTTTTAAACAAACACTCCTAAAGACAATGTTGGAATGTTTACTTGTATATTTCATTGGGGGAAATGCCCATCTTTGAAATGTTATTGACTTATTATTGTCATTTGGTAGGTGGTTCGATGTTGCAGGTTGCTCAGGCAGCAAAGGATCCTGGGGTGACGTGGCATTTTCTGCTCCTTAGGAGGCTTCTCCTACATTCTGTAGGTCTTGTTTCCTGCATTCCCTCTACTTGTGTTCTTCAAATGTACTTCCTGCAAATAAGAAGGATAAGGGTCCATTAAGTTGTTGTGGTTTTGTATATCCATTCATGTCTTTAAGCGATTGTGTGTTGTAGCCACTGTGTGATTGATAGTTAACTTGACACATATATGCACCGACCAAACAGAGTAGTATTTCAGTACCTTTACAGATTCGTTATTTCTTTATGATGCTAGCTTTCACACTGTCTTGTAGTACTTTACAAGATATACAATAAATTCTTGGAACTTATAACCCCCTTTCCCTTTGTTCCTGTGCTGTAAGAGACCAGTACTGATTCTTTCTAGGTACCGTGACAGCCATTTCTAACACTGGTCCTCAGCCTTTTGCATCTTATGCCTCACCAACCTAGCTTTAGGAGGGTTTGGCATCTTGAATTCTTTGAGAAACATACAGATAGACAGGTCCTTAGTGAACAATTCAACCGAACTTGACCTGTCTCCAGGAGCTCCCACATCACAAGTATCATTGTTTTATAATTACACCAACATGCTACTCTTTCTATCTGCCTCTGTCCCATATTCACTCACAAGAAGAAGATGCTGAGAATTCTGACTTTCTGACTGGAAGCATATCTTTCCCCAGTGAGTAAAACCAACCCAACCCAACCCAACCCAACCCAACCCAACCCAACCCAACCCAACCCAACAACACAAACCCATCAGACTCTGGGGTTACCTCTGTTGTCTTGCTACACATTGTTTTACACTACTGTTTTGTTCCCCACCCTCTATGGAGAGAGGTAGCATCTTTGAAGCAGAAGATTTGGGGAATCAGGTAAAAATCACAAATCTGACCTGAGCTCAACCCTCTACCTTCTTCCACTTCCAGCAGTGCAAATTTGCTCAAGTAACTGTTTCCTCACCCATAAAATGGAACAATAGTATCTACATTATAAGAGCAAGGATTTAGCATTTATGAAGGCCCTTTTCTAGATCAGAGGCATAATCAACATGGATATTAGATGTTATTATTCATTTCCTCTCTTTCTCATGTCGCCTTTGTATTCATGTGTGTGTGTGTGTGTGTGTGTATTGTGGATGTTCACGTAGATGTGTATGTGGCTACACCTGTGGAGCTGCAGTTTTTTTTTAAACAGGTTTTTTTCATTGAACATGGCTGGAGTATTGAAGAGTAAGCTCAGGGCATCTGCCTGTTTCCACCCCTACTCTCTCGGCATTAATGCCTGCCTGTCAGTTCTTTATAGGACTGCTGAGGATTCTGAACTCAGGTTCTCATGCTTTCAATGGTAGCTTTCCACCAACTGAGATATCTCCCTGCCCCTTTGTGTCATATTAATCAGAAAGTAATTATTCCATGGCCCAAATGCCAACTTCTTTGAGTTGATATCCTTATCACTTCAAAAGGAATATGAATTTTGTTTAGAGCAGAAGTCCTATGAAAGCGAGACTCATCCACTTCATGAGTGTTAAAGCTCTGAGTCTCATTTGGGTTGTTGCAGGTACTTTACCTCTAGTCAGAGGGTGTTCTGTAGGAGGATGCAGTAGTGCAGTAGACAGTTGTAGGTACAGAATAACACTTTATAAGTCACAGTAGCTTTTATCATCGAGACATGTTTCTGTCAAGACCAGTCATTCTCACACTGGCATTCAGAATTGCCTAATTTTCTTCTACCTAAGGGAATGCATACCTACTCAATCTCAGTGCTGTTAGGAACTAAGAGACTTTAGAGACTTAGCGAAGGTGAGCAGATCTAATACTGATGAATACTATCAATACAAACCAATACAAATCAATACCTATCAACAAAAACTCTGAGGCATGCAGAGAATTTTCTAATACAAGTTGATTAGCACTGTTAGAACATTCATTTGCCTCTGAGTTCTTCATGAAATATGAAAAGAAGCTATCCCTTTGTGACTCAATGGTCATAATCATACTGACAGAATAGAAAAAAGGTGGCATTATATGAAAACACGCTTTAAAGTAACAGGTTCCTGGCTATTGTAAAAGAAGCAGGTCAGTAGGAAGTGGGGCCTTGAGTAGAGCACCTTGAAATGCTGTCAGTTAAAAATCCTGAGATCTTCCTTTTTCATAGCATACAACTCTTAGAAAGTTCACTACGTAACATACATTTCTTGCTGGGCGAAGCATTAGACACTAAGCTATGGATGAACTTTTGCTCCTTGTTCTGCTTCTTATAATAATTTTTTTTCTAGAAAAATGAAAGGAAGATATCTGTGGTGGAAGAATGGGGTCATTAAAGTTCACAAACCCTTTGAAATCTCACGTGTGGGCCTATTTGATTGTCTTGCCACATGCTTGAAGTAGCTGTAACGACAGCACTATTCTACAAAACTGCTAATTGAATGAACATACTAATTTTAATTTGAATATTTTCTTTCCTATTTAACATGGACACTAGCTTAGAAATAAAGAAAATCGAGTCAAGAAACACACGGTACCACGATCTGTTTAATCTCCAGTTCTCAAGCTGAGCTACAAGTTTGTCAAAAACAGATTTAGTTATCTTCTGTACTTTACTTTTTAAATGCAGGAGGGTTGTACAGCAGCTAAAAGTGGGGAGATGAGGTTAGATTGGCCATCTTACAGATCTTTATCTTCCAGGTCTTTCTTTTTTTTTCTGAAAGCAGAAGGTAGGCAGGGTAAGGTTGAGCAGAAGTGTCCTCTGGTGGTTATTTCATGAGTTTATCTCAGCATCCAGCAGGGAGAGAGAGAGAGAGAGAGAGAGAGAGAGAGAGAGAGAGAGAGAGAGAGAACGAAGCTCACCCACGACCACTCTAAATAGCATGCTTCCCAGGCACACAGGCTCAGAGAAAAAAAGCAGCTGTGTAGTCTGGTGTGCAGCTGGCTCCCTTCCCAGTATCTCACATGTGACTTCTTTGTTGCAGACAATGATAGTGATGGACAAAAGCACTCAGGGACTTGGTCTCAGTTGCATCTGTTGCTTTGCTCATTGTCTTAATTTAATTATGCTGGCTACCCTCGACAATAGGCTACAAGTGGAGGTCCGTTAGGAGCAGCCGTCCTCGGAGCTGGCATCCACCTTCAATACACTTCTTGACCGGTTATGAAACAGTTTCACAGGCAGCCAAGCAAAAACTTTTTTCTTTTACTTCAGTAGCTTGTCCAAAACAAACAAACCAGCTGAAACTGTTTCTAGTGTGCAACTAGACAGATTTTTTTTTGAAAGGAAAACAGTAGTGAGTAAATATTATTTCCAATTGACACCAGAGAAAGTAAGATTATTTAAAAAAAAATGCCAGTTTTCTAGCTGTCTGGGGTTGACAGAAGAAACCAACCCTTTTGAAAGACGGGCTAACCAGCTTACTAAGGGATGAGCTGGGGAAGGGGTTAATTTGTAATAGAGGCCATATGCTCTCTTCTATAGCTCTCACACTTTCCCCTGAAAAGTTACCCATAGACCCTTTGAGGGTGAAGATCATCAGAGGTTACTGATGATAAATACCACAAGAATCTTGTTTGACACCTGCTGAGGCCTTACGGTCTAGTGACTTCTCTCACCGCTCCTCCCATCCATTTTGGCAAGGTGATCTTATTTGTGTCCACTCCACTTCCAGGCTGAGGCTTGCTAAGGTTTAGTGATACGCCTAAGGCTGCAGAGGAACTGCTAGATTCCTCTAAGATGATTGTCAGATTCAAGAGAAGAAATCGCAGTCATCATCACTGGAGCATCCATCACATGCTAAGGGTCCCGTCATCCATGCTCTCTGCCTAAGCACTCTCATTTATCCCACAGTGTCCCTCAGGACAGGCACTGGCATCATGATCATTTGACCTTTAAGGGATCTGAAGATTGAAAGAGTTAAAAAGAAACTTGCTTATTTCTTACAGTTAAGCTGGGCTTCTGGTTTAGATTTATGGAAGTGTCTTCTGATTCTGGAGGTGACCTGTTAATTACTCTGCTATCTACAACTCCAAAGAGGTAAGAAAAAAAACCCTAGAGCTTCAAAGATCTCTTTCTAACAGCAGTAGCTCATGATATCACAGTTGTCCACCACCCCTGCTGGTTTATGAATGAAGGCAGGATGTCTGGGCTAGAAGACTCTAAGCTAACAGGGTGGGTGTCCTTCCTGACCACAGTGTCAGCAAGGTCACATTTGCATGGTCGTTTATAGAGCTCTGGAAATGTCACATTTCCAGTTAGCAAGAGCTATCTATCTCCTTGGATATTATTACTTCTGATTTTCATCACCATGCTTATTTTTTTGGGGGGGGGGTTTGCCTAGGGGTCAGAATATAAAAGAAAGACGATAGACTCTTAAAACTTCAGGAAGGAAGCCTTGCTAGTTTCAATAGACTGTGTTTCCATCTTCCACCCACTGCAAACAAGTTAAGTATTGTAGGGCATAGTCTATGAAGGGCCTGGAATCCTGTAAAATAAAGTGCTGGGGAAATAATGTCTGGCATAGAATATTAGCAGCTTATTTACAGAACAAAGTACTAACTCAGCATTGACCTTCTCCATGAAAGGCCAAATAGAAGAAGAAAGAACAGTGAATGATTGACAGGTGGCCCAGACAACAACTCTTCACTTGTTGAAAAGGATATGCTGTTGTTCTTTTTTTCTGATTGTCTTGGAGAACACACAGCACTGTGGAAGATGATTTAGATGTCTTGGTATCAGCTCTGACATCTTTTGACTTCAAGGAAACAAAAGTTCAAATTCTAGGACACTCCAGTTGGCCTTTCTTTTTTTGGTAGCCAACCTGAGTGACATGAGATCTACTTTATGTTAGGATGGGACTTTAAAACCAAAGACAATTCAAGAGACCCAGTATCCTGCTGTGTATGGCTGACTCTTTGGGAGCAAGGCACAGGTGTGTATGTATGGTACAGGATGTTAAGTTTGCCTAGCCTCTGGCTGCTTTCTTAGACATGACCTTCTTCCTCCTTTAATGTGATAGGAATCTCTATTCACGCCTCTCTATCACAGTGACTTTTTCCTTTGAACCATTTGGATTGTTCCAGGCTGACCTTTTACCTAAGC